ATAATATATATATATATATATATATATATATATATATATATACATTGTGCATATTATTTTTGAATAAATACATAATATCTTCACAGAAATATAGTTATTTGTCTTATTCATATAAATCTTGGCAAAAAACAAAAAACAAAACAAATACTGCATGTCAACCATGTCAAGTCAGCTTCGTTTATCATATGTGAGACAATAATTATGGGCTATAATTCAGTTCAATCTCTTTGGCAGACATGGTATGTCTGTGTCATCATGTTTATTGACACAAGGATGTCTCGGTTCGAAGCTTTCAAAGAATCCACCGCTTTGCACCAAGTCATTTTGTTTATTCTTCCTCACAATCCTATCTTTCTGAAGTGCTCAGCCAACATTATTTATAATGGGTGAATACTAATGGAAAACGCTAGTACTAATCTATCACCATCATGTCTGTGTCAATAACAAAGAAACTGTTAAGATAATCCGACTTCTGCACTGTTTTAAACAACTTGTTGAGAAAAGCTTCAATTAGCTGGTCTTAGTCATGTGAGAAAGTTAATATAATCATATACAAAGGTGGATGGATAGAGTTATAAAGATATATAAGCAGGGTGTTATTACAGAGCTGTCTTTTCACAATAAATGACTTTCTATTGTGTTTATGATTATTTTTTTCCATGACTGATCTCTCCAGAGCATGTGCTAATATGCCACTTTTATGTAAAGTTGCATGAACTTAATACCTTCATCTCTACAAAACATAATCATACGTCTAATCGCAAAGTGTGTGTAGAAAGACAGTGGAAGCCCCACCTGGACACACCTGCACATTAAAAGTGTAACCACGCTTGGTATGCGACGCTACAATGCACAGGCACGTCCCCTGGATACCATGGATACTATACATAGTTGTGTCGCCACGGCTCAAACAAACAATGAAGAAACAACAACAGTTGATTTACATAAATGTGTCAGATCGTGAGAAAAGTATTAATGAAGATTGCTGTAGGTAATTGGGTCTTACAATGGCATGTTAGACTTTCACTGCAAAGATTAGCAGGCTAGCTAACACCCGTAATTTTCAAACTATGGGTCTGTTCTGAAAAAGGGAGGACAATAACATCTGGAGAAAGTTAACTGTTAGCATTAGCATTAAGCTGAGAGTTTGTTTTAATCAAGGAGGTCTGTAATACCTGGAAATATTTATCCGTTAGCAATAGCATTCAGCTGGTGAGTCTATTTTAAACAAGGAGGTCTGTAATACCCTGAGAAATCATTAGAATTAACTTTCAACTGGTGAGTACATTCTTATCAAGAAGGTCTGTAATAGATAAAGCAATCTAGCAGTTAACATTAGCATTAAACATGTAAGACTGTTCTGATCAAGGAGGTCAGTACCTGGAGAAAGTTAGCCATTAGCATTAACATTAAAGTGGGGAATTTGATTTAATCAAGGAGGTAAGTAAAATCTACAGAAAACCATTAGCCTAATTAGCCCAATACCTAGCATTAACCATTAGCATTAAACTGGTAAGTTTGTAAGATTTCTGATCAGGGAGGTCTGTAACGTCAGTAGAAATCGAACATATCAGCATTAGCATTCAACTGTTGAAGTCGTTTCAATTAAATAGGTCTGTAATATCTGGAGAAAGTTAGTCGTTAGCATTAGCAAACAACTGGGGAATTTGTTTCAATCAAGGAGGTCTGTAATACATGTAGAAAGTTTTGTTTTTTGTTTTAAGGAGATCAGTCAAATCTGCCCTGTTGAAAAAAACAGCATATGCAAAGGACCAGCTTAAACCAGCTCAAACCAGCATCCCAGCTTCAAAACATACCTAACCAGCATATGCTGGTTTTTTCAACTGAGTGGAGAAAGTTAGCTGGTAACATTAGCATTAAATTGAGTTTGTTTTAATCGGGGAGGTCTGCAATACCTGAAGAAAGTTAGCCATTAACATTAGCATTTAAAGGTGCTGTATGTAGGATTGACACCGAGTGGTTGAACTAGGTATTGCAGTCCAAATTCAAAATATTGGAGAGGGTTTTTTTCACCTGGTCCCTCCTCCTCAGACTTGATGCACATGCAGGTTGCCAGATTGACGACACCAACAGGAAAGTTTTTAAACCTTTGTATATTTTAAGCTGTCTCCATCTCTCAAATGCATCTCAAATATTTATTCTGCTTTTATTATACCGTTGTTGATCATAAAGTTTTTTGGATGGATGTCGAGGCTTTTTAGGATGGGCAGAAAGTTCTATTTCCCGCTCTGACCCCTTTCGTTTGCCAGCTTCCATGACTGAAATGAAATACGCTGTGTTTCCCGCCAACTGGCAACCCGGGGTGCCGAAATACAATTGGGTAAACCGGCAGTGGGCGGGTTTCACAAACCAAAACA